TTTACCCTCTTCAATACTGTTTTTCTTCACGTGGCCTTTCTTCCATTTTACCTGCAGTTTAATAATTCCATGTCAGAAATTGAAAGATAGTTCCTAGTCAGAATGTCACTAATTGGTTCAAAATGTGAGCCACTATCAAGAAACCTGCAAAAATATTTTCCTGTGTCTCAATGCATGTGGTTTTATTAGACTGTTTTTCTCTTGTGTCTGCACTGCAGTATAGACTAGAGCAATGCTCACCAATATCTTTAATTCCGATCATTATGAAAATTCTAACTTTTAAAATTAAAAGTTACAGACCCTCCTTGCTTTCTTGACCAAAGTTTGAAAGTAAAGCCTAGAAGTAACGTGCCCAGTTTATAGTTAAACACCATTTGTCTCTTGGGTGCCATTGCACTGTCATTGTATGCAATACTTTCAGAATTGCTTTGGCATGTTCATGGAGTTGCACCAGGGAAATTTTTTTCATGGAGACTTGCTTAGGAAGCGTTTGTATCTCTGTTTTTACTGAGTAGCACAGACATGAAACACAGTGTCTATAAAATGAAGTACTCAACCTGTCAGACACCAATATCGAGTTCAGATAGAATATTCAGTGAAGGGGAAACTCAGCATGAAACAACAGCATGAGCTGAATATATTCTTTTGGACAAGAGAAAAAAGCCTAAAGTTGGTGAATGATGTAATCCAATTTTTCAGCTACATATAAGCATGAGAACCTTTCAGCCAGAAGATTAGTGGTGCAAGTCCTTCTAAACAATAAGCAGATGGTAACTTTTTCAGTATTTGTTAAGTTTCATATTGCAGCCTTAAGTTGTGTTCCCGGATTATCACAGAATCACAGAATGGGTGAGGTTGGAAGGGAATTCTGGAAATCATCTGGTCTAACCGCCACCCTGGCTCAAGTAGTGCCATCTAGAACTTGTTGTCCAGGACCATGTCTGGATGGCTTTTGAATATATTCTGTGGAGTGCACTCCACAGAGCTTCCTGGTTCAGGGAAGACCTCCTGACTCTCCCTGGAGCTGGGCCCCAGTCTGTTTAGGCCTTTGTGAATGCGGGTCGACTGGGTGAGAGTCGCCATGTGGGCGCCTTTCTCTTATGTATTTAACTGGCTGGTCTGGCTGTTTCCCATACCAACTATGGGCAACCTCGGCTCACTGTTTATACCACCTGTTGTGGGCTGAGTCACCTCTTTTGTGGGCTTGTTGGGGGTGGCATCGATTATGTACCAGCTGATTGATCTGTTTGTACCCCTAGCAATCATTCATGCAATGTCCTTCTTGTCTACAACACAGTCTGTGTATTGGATTCTCTTCCTGCTGGTGCTATCATTTTTATTGGGCCTGGTCATTGGCAAAACAGTCCAATACATCCTCATATCTGTAAGCTAAGGGCATTCAGGTCCTACATTAAACATGAAAGGGATTTTCCTCCATTCCATGAGCACCATTCCAGAAGCAGTGGATAATGATCTAGCCCCAAGGCCTGGAGAAGGAGTGAGCAAACAAGATGAGCACCTGCAGATTCCCTGTAACATTTCCCTCCTCTCCCTCCATAAAAAATCAAAGAAGCAGCAACCAAGAAAATTAGGGAATTACAGGGAAACAACAGCATCTGAGACTTGTTGAGAAAATAGGGAAATTAAATGTCTCATGTGCCCTGTAAGTCTTTTCATCCCATCTTCTTCCCTACTCAGCTGTGTGCTTTGTAACAGCAATGGTTAGCCCACAGAGCGTGGATTTTGTAGCAAGCAAAGTCAGGGAAGGTTGAGAGGATCAGGGAACACCACACAAGGCAGCTGTATTCCCATAGATTCCCATTCCCTTTTCCTCCACTGAAATATCCCTCTTTCCTGACACACATGCACACACAGACTTTAGGAGTTCTTTGAAGTCAGAGGACAGGCTCATATCTCCTGCCACAGAACACAAACCTAGATCCACGCCTTTCCTGAATTAAAAAAAAAAGGAATGGTACAAAATCAGAGCCTCGGAGTTTAACCAGTCTTACACAGATTATCATCACAGAGAGGAGAACTTATCCCCAAGTAAGAACTTCTGGATTAAACTCGCATAAATAAACCTCAGGGAGTGAATAGGTGAGTAAGTCAAGTGAAAGATACCAGGAATAAAGGTGAAAATTTATATTTCTGTGGCTGCTGAATATGCTCCCATTTCACTGTTACTGGAAAAGCTGATGTCCAGTTTTAAGAAGAGAGTTAAAAAGAAATCGGCTTGAGGTGAAAGTTTTTTTGTGTACTAAGTGCTGGCAAGTAATTACTAAAGAGTAACTAGTGCGAAAATGTGAGATGAGATCTTCATATGGCTGCTGATTAAGTGGATCTACTTCCCCAATAATCCATCCAATATTCCAATTGAACCTTCAGCCAAAATTCATGAGGCAAATTTCATTACTTTAGTGGTGCCTAACCTGGAGTTGGCATTCTGTTGTAGTCATGAGATGGCAGGATGGATAGGAGGCTGAAAGATGAATTAATAACATTTCATCATAATGAACTATCAAGGTAAATTGGAAGGTCATCTTGTGTTGTATAATTATATATTCAAAAGAATTTAAATTCTTGCTTCAGCCCTTAGTGAATCTGAGACAGCAGCAATGATGGGAAAAACCCCCCTTAAAAATCCCAAGAATCATACTTGTTTTGGCATGACACTGCCTAAGGTGATTTGCGAACAAGCCTGACTTTGCCAAGCGTTCACAGTAATGCAAGATTCAGCATACATTTTAAAACATTAAATCACCTTTCCATTTTCACGGACAGGATTATTTGATTGTGTAAATTATGTTATTTTAAAGGGCGCAAATATTCTAATGCTGGAGCAAAAATTAAATACTCAGAGTAACTGTATGTTAATAATTTTAAGCAGTCATTCCAAAAAATCTCCAAGTTTGTCTTATTGTCTGACATTGGAAAATACAGAGTGTGTCTGCTGCCACAAACAATACTGGGATTCTAGATACTGACCATTTTGAAAATCAGGCTCAAAACATGCATCAAAAGTAGGTGCTCCTGCTTGAGCAAAGTTTGGCTTTGTTTTTTTGTAGAAGTCAAAATTGCTTCCACCTTGAAGCTTAAAAAAATGCAGAGACATCGAAGTATTATTTTAAACAGTCTTGTCAAAAAAGCTGCAGTTAGTAAGTAACACGTATGTTTGAGAAGCAGAGCATACCATCATTTATGATTTATTCAGAATCAAAATAAAGCAAGCCCTTTATGAACAAGTAGCAGGCTACCACAGTTTATTTACCCCTTCAGTTTCAATCTGATGTTGTATGGTTTCAGATCAGACTTGCTGAAATTGTTCCCTCGATGTCCTTGCATGAAGCAGTGTGCAGTGCAGGTTGACACAACGTGATCTGAATGGCAGCAAACATGAAGGAGACAAAATGCATGTTTAGTTCATCAAAGGTGGTCAACATGTCTTCCAGTTACTGCTCTGCTCTTTCACTTGGTGGCACAGGTTTCTGCAGAGATTATTGCATCTAAGTGAGAAACGTCACAGTGTTCTGCATCTACTTACTGTATTTGGTGTGGACTCGCAGGATAGGCAGGGACATGGAGCTCTGTTGTCTGTGTGGGAGTGTCAAGATGCAAAGCACCATTTGTCAGAATTAACTCATGGTTAGCAAAAGGAGATCCAGATCCTACACCTGCTCCTGTGTATGGGAAATGAGAGGGGAAGGGCTGTAGCCAAGTAATCCCTGTTCTCCCAGCGTCAATGGGAGACGTCTTCTCATATGAAGAGCAACAGGGAAATTACGTATTTGGCCATCACTGCTTTTAGGGATCTGTAACAGACAGAAGAAAAGGAGTATGCAGAGTGAGGCAGAAGAACTGAAGTTTCTCCATAACCAAAGGCAGCCAGTGAAAACATGGGAATACGCACTGTCAAGTCACTCAGATGAACAATTTTTGAAACAACAACTGCACTGTACTCCCAAGAGCTGTGGTCCAGAAGAGAGGGGCGGGCAGGCTGGCTGTCAGTTGACCCAAAGTAGTATTTCATTTTGTAGTTTGTCTGAATTGTGTTTCTTGGAGTTGGTTTGGTGAACCAAAATGGTATGCAGCACCTGGAGCCTGACCTTCACAGATGCCCTCATTCTTGCCTAGATCCTTAATCATCCATCAGTACTCTTTTAGAATGTCTTTGGAGTTCAAACGTAAAATTACACAGTTGATCACACCTTACTGAATTCATCACAAAGATGGCAATACAGCCATACAAGCCTGAATTTCATATTTCACTTCAGTACTATGGGGTGATAGTATTTTATCAATGCTGAGTGAAAATATTTTAAATTGCACTTTGCACTCTCCGGAAGTATTTTTAGTCACTGTTTTTTTCTGAAAGCCTTTGGACATTCAGCCTATTAATTTGTTTCTTTCCTGAACATATCTTTATTTATGCAGCAGAAGTATTCCTCTCCTTCAAGGTAAATTCTGTACCGTTTCACACCCCCTTCTTTACAGACCTTCATAAATCCATTGTCATTTATTGTACCCCTTAAATCTAGGAGCATATTTCCAATATACACGAAATTTAATTTTCAATTTATATCCCTAATAATTCTCTAACTTTATTATGTTTTAACGAACTGCATGACAATCACTCCATTTTTACATGGAGTGTGAAACAGCTATTTAAGAATGTTCTTTATAGTGAAAACTGTTATTAATTATGTAATTCATAGGATAGTACTAGTTGAGAGAAATTTATTTAATTCATGTTAAAGGATGCAATTAAATTTTCAAAAGTAGCATATTTGAAAATATATCTCATCTGTTTACTGTTATCTCAATTTTAGTAGAAACTTGAAAGGTACACTTACAGGTTGGATAAAAAATGGAGGTAGAAGAAGTGAGGTGTCAAAAAACCCCACACATTTTCACCCTATGCTGGCAGCTGCCAATGTCAAATATAAATTCACATTAATTAAAGCAAGTCACATCCTAAATATTTTTCTTTATTCTTTCAGACCACTCTTCCGTGGAAATTCAGATGTTGATCAGCTAGGAAAAATCTTCGAGTAAGTAAAAACTAGTTGTATTATGTCAATATCTGTTTAACATTGAAACACTGTGAGGTTTCTTTGCCACATTTTTATGCAATAATGTGAATAGAACAAAGTATTCCTAGAACGTTTCCTATTGCTACCGTATGCAACGTGATATTTCCGTGTATTCTGTGTCAGAGTGGGAGGAGGAAGCAACATGGAATATAATTCTGCAGAACTAGCAGCCATCATCAGGAAGTTAGGAGAGACTTCTGTTTCAGGCTTTTTCAATCTCTTAAATATATTGTGCATGTACCGTTCATGCATATGACTAAACAGATTGTCATCATGTAAACAAACAGAGATGTTTTATTTTTCAGTAATTTCTCTGTGTATTTCAGAAAACATTTGAATACTTTAAAGTTGTTATTAAACAGAAATTGCTAAGATGATTACCAACATCTTTGCAGAAAAGACTTCTGTACATAAGAAAATATTTTAGCTTTTAAAATATACTGTGTGGCCTGTTAAAATGATTAACAGTCTATATTTTGGTCAGGAAGGTAACTGTGAGAACAGAAGGAATATCGGCATTTTAACATGTGCTTTGTTGAAGATGAACTAATTGACTTTATTTTAAAACTGTTTTACCTTTCTAGGAGTTAGTGGTTTTTTTCTTCACATATGTCAAATATGTTGAGAAGGTGGGGAGGCTCTAACGCTCTGAGGTAGAGTGGGGAGGCTCTAACGCTCTGAGGTAGAATAATTCCAAAATATGTTCTCAGTTAAAAAAATTAAAAAAATAAGTTGTTGATATTACTGATAATTATAATTAAGTGGGATTATGTCACCTTTTTCCTGTAAAAGTTCTTCAGAGCAAGGAATGTTTCTGAATTTATAAGAACCACGTAAATTTAAGATCTGATGTACGGATCATGTAGTTAGGAAATGAAAGCCACATGGGGCTGGTCCCACTCCAGAGAATGAGTGCCCATTTGCCTCCGCCCCTCTGTCCTCCCTTTTTCTTTGGAGGGGCTGCAAGGATCCAGGTATCTGGATGAAAGTAGAAAATAAGACATAGATAGCAGAGAGAGAAAGAAAGCTGAAATATTATTCTCTTGAAGATATTCCAAAGACAAGATAGTAAAATTTCTAAGGAGAAGATCTTAAACAGAACAAATACACAATTTCTCTGTTTAACCACTTTTCCAGTTCTCAAAACCTAACAGATCTGTTTCTAAGCATTTTCATTACTCAGTATGAGGTTCCTAAATTGCAGGTCTTGATTTCACACAGTTGACTCCCCTTTCCTGCATACCATACCAGTGTATGTGACTCACTTGCGTGGTTAATTTGTCATGCGCTGAATAGCTCTTCCTGCCCAATCCAGAAAAATAACTCCTTAAAGTTTACTTTTTCTTCTTCTGCCAAAGCTAATCCTTCAGTCCTACAATATTCTGCTGTATTAAATGAAGACAGTGTTGATACATACAACGTATTTTATAATTAAAAAGACATAGCTGTGCTTTTTTTAAGGATTTTGATTCATTTATGACATTTAAGGGGAAAAATCAAAATGAACTGGACTAGGATTAATTGCATAGCTGCTAGTGGCAGCCTCCGATGGGGATCTTTCCATCCCTAGGGTCTGAGATTACCTGTGCAGAAAAGAATTCATCGAGAAGAGAAAATGCTATGCTAATTTCAGAATAAATTTCTCATTACACATCTCCTTAAAGAGAGAGTTTGGTTTTGCTTCTTCTGTGCAGTTCTTCTTCAATGGTTCAAAAGTGTCTTTCTTGGGTTCTGGGGGGTTATGCTAAATAGTGTTTATTTTGTGTTTTCACAGCTGGAGAACCCCCTACAGTTAGGCATAGCTCTTCTTGTAAAGAGGATTGTTTCTTTCTACAGTAGTGACTCTTTCTGCAGACTAATCTGAACAGTTTGGGATTTTCGTGCAGTCTGGACTGATGCATTCTTTCAGATAATGGGGCTGTGGTCTACTTTTGCTTTACATGTGTGTTCTGATTTGCATCAGGTAATATTCCACCACGTTTGAGGGTAAATCCCTTGGAGGTGGCCCAAAACAATTTCCTGCTTTTCCAGGACACCATCAGCGTGTGGGATATCCTCATAGATTTCAGGCTGAACGCTGCAATGGTTTGAGCAGACTTGCCTCCCATTGTGGTCAATGGGATTGGAAAGTACTTGGCGTTTCTCAAGATCAGGCCTGAACCTTTGGCAGGAGGTGAAACTCAACTAAGATACTCCCAAACTTAGTCACTGAAATGGTAGTGCTACCAGACAAGAGTGAGGGCATCTACTCAGACATTGATTATTGAGTTTTGAGTACTACGTGAGTGTGTAACTAAAAATGTCTCTCCTTTCCAGTCTTGGTCTTGGCCACCCTACCAATCTGACAGGCTGTCTCCTTGTTTCTTTTTGTTAGCTCTGCCTGTGCCTGTGCTTATTCTGCCCTGTTCATGCTCTCCCGTGCAAACATGAAAAAAAAAAAAAAAAGGGACTAACCAAACACATTTGAATGGCAGATTAAACTTGATTGTTATTTTAAAAATTTAACTCCCTCATCTTCCTATGGTGCTATTTGTATCATATTTAACAAGGATCCAGATCCTCAAACTGTTAATCGCGTGGCTTTAATCACCGTGGCTAAGGGAGTTGCCTCACAACCCCACTGTACCTGTGGTTATAAAAGTCAAATTCAATTTTTCATACAGATTTAACTTAACATTTTCCAAGAGCTGTGATATCTTCAGATATAGCAAAATTAAATTGTTCTGAGATTTTAATTGCTTTGCCCTTCTAGACATGCTGCTGTTTTGAAGGCATATTAACTTTCAGAGGTACTTTAGGTGAGCCAGATTACAATGTAAAATCCATGTAGGTAAATGTGGAGTAATACCACTAAATTCACCGAGGTAACCTATGATTTATATCAAAGTGTTTGGCCCATGGCCTCATCCAGTTTTAACGACCCACCTCAAGAATTAAAAAGGTCAATGCTGCTCCCTAGTGGCTTTGGGGTTACTGCAGACCCAACTGTGCAGTGATTTCTTTCATGTTCCTTTCTGTCTTACCTTGCCTCTGTTTCCATTTAAAATCTCGATTTCACATGCTGTAAAAATTGATTTTCCCTGAAACCTCACAAGTAATTCCAGAAAACGGCATTTCAACCCCACAAATATTAGCATCAAACTAAAACACAAAATGTATGAGACACAAACCATTACTGGAGGTTTACCTACAATTTTTGAAACTTAGCATGTTTATTTAATAAATATAAATGTCTTCTAGAATTTTAAGAATACATAAGTTATAAAAAGAAATTGAAATATTCTATTGCGGGGTAGATAAAAACTAAAATGCAATTGAAAGTAAAAACATTAAGACACTCAAGCCCTATGCTGCTTCTGAATTGAGACTTTAAAACCTGTATTGTGAAGCAAATTGTTTACATTTGGCCAATAATTACTGCACATAGCTTTGAAGCATTATGAAACATCCCTTTTATTGCCTTACCCTCTTCTTGACCCACACTCTTCTTTCAGTCCCTATTCTTGTGAATAAAGATCCTTGCATGCAATTTCCCTTTGAAACTTACTGCTTTTAATCATTCTAGAGTGACATGTGTTGCACCATCCAGTCAAGAGCTGAACAACTTTCTCCCAAAGCACTCAGCCCTTTTCAAACAGAAAGACCCAGAAAATTGAGACCTAAGCCATAAAACTGTGCTGGCCACAGAAATATTTCTACCAAGCACACTGAGGACCTACACTCATCAGCCTCTATTAACAGAGATCAGTGCACTACTGTATAATTAATCTCATTTAAATGAAACGACTTATAAACTGCCATTCAGCATAATCCATATAAAGGGAAGACTGCATAAACATTCAGATGTAATGTCGTGTTTTTCCTTTCACAGTGTAATTGGACTCCCAGAAGAAGAGGACTGGCCTAATGATGTTGCCCTTCCAAGAAATGCTTTCACTTCCAGGCCTGGACAACCTATTGAAAAATTTGTACCAGATATTGATGAACTGGGCAAAGACTTGCTTCTTGTGAGTTCCTGTTTGTTGTTCTCCAAGTCGTATGACTGATAGCTCTCACTCTGCATGCAGCATGCCAAGAAACATTTATAGTTCCATGTAATGGAGTTACTCAAGAGAAGCTGAAAATTAGGTTCACAAATTCATGTAAATCTGTGAAACATTAGCACAAAGACGCCATCTTTGACTCAAGAGGTGTCAGCTGAGAACAGATAAATACTAGTAAACTGTCAGGGAAGTACCTGTTTGATCTGTCTTTAGACCTAATGCTTAGATCCTCATTACTGACCACTGATTCAGCCATTCTTAAGGTATAAGCCTGACATAATTACAAAAACAGATCTACCATTTTTTCTGGTAGAGTGGATCCAGTATAAAGCAGAAAATAGGCTGTAGAGGCAGATTACATCTGCAGGCTTTCTACTGGAAACCCACTGAAAACATGTGATTTGGAATTCATCAGTTGTTGCTTCTTACAAATGGCAGGATTGAGCAGAAGCAAAGAAACTGTGCTGGTACGACTGGTGACACTGAATTCAATTAAATTATTTCTATCATTTTTATAGAAATGTTATAAACCTCAGCCCTGAAGTTTAGTCTTGGAGTGAAATATAGGGAGTGGCCTTGCTTCAGTCCGCCTTTTACTGTGCTTGTTGAAATATAGCTAAATATTTTTCTCTAGAAGCCTTCAAAAGGTCTTGGTTCACATGGGCTTGGTAGAGTGGGCTCAGTTCAACCCTTGAAAGACTTGCTGCATCCCTTCAGGAACTGCTGTCTCTGGCTAACATTACCTCTACAGAACAGCAGATTATCTTTCATTGTCTTTACGATCACAGCTCCCAGCTGCTGCAAACTGGACTACATCTCAACACTTGAAATGACAAGGGAGAAACTCATCTGTTGTACTTGCAGGCAGCCTGGAAATGGAAGCTAGGTGTGGGACAAGAATTAGATTCTGGGAGTGACAAGGAATAAAATACAGCAGAGAGGTCAGTGAGTGTGAGGCATGATGAGAGGGAGGAAGAAGACAGATATGTATGCCTACAAGTATGCCTACAAGGTGAGATGGGAATGGAAGCAATTCCTGCTAGGCAAAGAGATGAGAACTGGGAGAAAGGGGGAGTAGGACTGGAATTCACTGAATCAAATTTCAGAAGTTAAATTATAGAAATTCTCATACAAGAAAAAAAAGTAGGAGTAGGAAATGGTTAGACAAGGATAGTAGGAAGAATACTATTTGGAGGTGAAGGAAGGAAAAGAGAACAAGTATAAAACACAAGCAGTGGGAGAGAGATCAGTGCTGGCTGAACAAAGGCTGGGATAAGGATCTGGAAAAAAAGGCAAGCAATATACAGCGAGGAAGAAGAGGGAGAAACTGAACACAAAAGATTAACATACAAAAGCTATTAAGTCAAAGACCTAACATCTATGGAAACGGTGAACTTAGGAATGAACATGTACCTCATGATGCTCTCCATGTTAGTATAACCACAAAGGAGCAGTGTTGAACACTGAGGGGATTCAAAAGTTGTTCATGAATAGTTGCTCCCTGCAGTCTTTGAGACAGATATCCTGTGCATGTGAATTCAAGAAAATCAGAATTCTGGGCTTTCTAAATTCTGAATACTTGAATTTTCTAACTTGTTGTTTTCTATTAGGCTTGGGGATGCCATATTCATATACTGTGACCCCACTGCTTGTTTTACTATGGATTGTCATCTTATCATGCAGCACCTACTGAGACACTGTTGTGTCTCATACTGATCATAAATTGAAGGTGGCACACATTAACATATGTATGCAATGTTAGCACTGTTAACTGTATGTTTTAGTTAAAACCAATTTCTTTTCATGCTTTCAGAAATGCTTAGCATTCAATCCAACCAAGAGAATATCTGCCTATGTTGCCCTCTCTCACCCATATTTCCATGATCTGGAGAAATGCAAGGAGAATCTGGACTCTCACATGTCATCCAGCCAAAACTCCAGTGAGGTGAATGCATCATAATGCTGACTGAAGATGAACCATAAATGAACCAGACATGTAGCTGACAAGGCCACTGTCCTATCCAAACCACATAGCTGTTCTAGCGAAGATCATTATTTGGAAGTTTTATGCACTTATTTTTTATTTTGGGATTCTGATGTGCTTATCCAAGGAAATCAATCTAGTTTACTTTCATCAGATTAACGCAAGGGCCAAGGCTTTGACCTGCTCCCATTGCAGCTTTATGTTTTGGTTTGGTTTGGTTTGGTTTGGTTTGGTTTGGTTTGGTTTGGTTTGGTTTGGTTTTGTTCTGTTCTGTTTTGTTTATCTACCTGGGAAAACTCCAGTCCAAGACAAGCTGCTGACCGGTTTTGCTGCCATTTTATCCTTTTAATGTTGAATGTTGCCAGTGTGGAGTAGGATGATCAAGTCACTGCCAAAACATGATGCAATCTCTCTCTCTCTCTAGCTGCTGATGCATGATTTGGTACTTTTTAAATTATTATTATGTGATCTCCTACAGTGATATTTAAAGAATGGCATTGAAATACCAGATCTCTGCAAGATGCAGTTAACTGATACATGCATTAATACATCCAGCTACTGTTCATTCATAGTATATATGCAGTTGCTTCCCCACTTGAAAACTTAGATGGATTATTTTATCATTTCTTTGCTCTATAAAAATAATAGTGATGATGGCCATCATAATAAATGTCTCAACTCTTAGGTTTTTTCATACACACACAAGTTATTATCTAGCTGTGTTTCTGTGCACGTTGCAAAAAAGTGTTTTTAAAAACTTCTCGAGTCCTGTTCGAAAAGACTCTTTCGATTTCCAAATGGTCAGTTTGAATTGAAACCGAGGCACATTCTAGCCCACCATCTAACCCATCATTTCCCCCTGGAAACAGCTGGAAGCACATTTTCTTTATCTCATTCCAAATTTTCTGATATGCAGCTCAAAGACTTGAGCAGAGCCAATGAAAGTCAGTACAGATTTTCACCTTCAACCTGTTCTGATTATCAGCCAAACATGAAAATAGAAAAAAAATGTTTCCATTTCAGAAGCAGAGAACTATATACCTGTAGTAAGCACAGATAGTATTCGTGATGATTTGTATGCTGCATACTGCGCTGCCTTACCTGCCACATCCCCCCATGCATCACAACTGCAAGAACATTACTGTCTCAAAGTCCCTCAGAAGTCATTTATTAAGCAGACTTGTTTTCTATGCAGAAATGCATGAGCTTCTCTCCTAAACCACCATGTGGGTATACTGGCACATGCTTCTCCACTAGGGTTAACGTGCCATTATTGAATGTCAAAATAACTAAGCAATTCACATGCTTTTATAGCACACTTATTTTAAATATTACATTAAATTTTTATATTTAGTATTTTTACCTTAACTAAAATATATTTTCAGTATTTTAAAAAGAAACTTTTATTTTTTTAATACTGTACTGGAGAAAACGAAATATTGTAAGTCCATGAAAGCTGTTCCCTAGCATGACTTTAGTGCGTTTACCTGGATATGACTTTGGGGAAAATATTGGTCCAATGAGTTAGCCCTTACCACAAAACCATAGCTATACACTATTGCAGTGTAACTGATGATGAGTGAGGCAGCTAGCTTTGCTTATACCTGTGATAGTCCCTAAGGCTTCTCTCTTCCTCATCTCTAGTTCAACTTTTCTAGGTAGCAAGTCAGCACTGTATCCCCCTTCACAGCATGCTTGGCAGAAGCAGGTCCTCAGCAGTGAGCTGAGCAACATCATTGTCCCAGCTGCAGCATGGGAGCTCACAGCCGCCCCCCAGCAGGTTTCTCAGGCCTGTGACAGATTGGCTGCTGTGGCAAACTTCGCCCTTAACTCTGTTTCCACTGGCTGCACTGTCTGGGACATGGTCCATTGCTAGGATAGTGTGTGGATCTTACCTGTCTCTTGGATAAAGCTTTTCGTTACTGTTAGATACGTACATATGCTATGTATGGTTAAATTAGATCTCTTAAGCCAGATTTTAAAAGGACCACATGCATGCACGCAGTGGCCTGTGCTTTTCTTCATGCCCAGAATGATGCCTATGCAAAACCTAGAGTATGAACAGGCAAGTTGTAAATTGGGCCTGGCAAGAGCACGCTCGAGGCATCTGCTCACAGATATGCTACAGACGCATAGCGTAATAATTTTGGAAGCTCTACAAGCGGCAAGCTGAAGGACAGGGAATGGTCACAGCAGCTAACCCTCTAATCTCATCCTTACCACTGTCATTCTATCTGTTCTTCCATCCAAGGCAAACTGCACACCCACTGTCCTGGTGTTGTCCCTGCCCTATTCCTCCATGGGTCAATGGAGCTGAGTGTGAATAGGTTTTAACATTCATAGAAAAGAGGATAGGGCAGAGTGAAATTTTTTGCTAACCACATTTAAACACTAATCAGAACAAAAAGAGCCAAAATTTGTGAGAATCTTGCAAGAGTAACAAATTTTTTATACAGTTTAGCACTTCTAAAGACATTCCATATTTTACCTATAATATATATACCACCAAGTTAGCATACATCCTTTATCAGGGCATTCAGCTCCTGTGGCTTTCCAGCAGCTGTCAGGTAACTCTCCCAGCGCTCTCAACAGCTAACATAGGATGAGGCTATGAGCTAACGAGGAGAGGCTATTTTCAAATTTGCCTCAAAATTCTCAGAGATGTGCATCTGTTCCATGTTAGAAGAGCTTATCGTATTAAGCTGAGTGAAGCAAGGGCTAGACAAAAATATTACTGCTGAATGTAGGTACATTGTTAGGGTAAAACAAAAATGAGGGAAGAGAACACTTTAAGACAAAGGTTAGTACTGGTCCAAAAAGTAAAGAGAATGTGGAGAATCACAAAGAAGTTAACCACTGGAGCAGTATTTTCCAACATCGTGGTGCTGTAGGTTGTCTAATATAGAATCAGGTTATAAATGAGGGCATTCAGGAGAACAGCTTGAGAAGAGCCACGTTAATGGTCATGTTCTAGAACATCCTTCCAATGAGAATGGCAGGAACAAAACGAGAAGTCTATAAGTTCTGTCTTGGCAGAGGGCCTAGATTCAAAGGACCAACAACTTCTAAAATTACTTCCTTTTCCAAATCTCTTTAGGAAGAAATTCCATTTGAGACACCATAGGCTTACTCTTATTCCAATCTTCCCTGCTAAACCATGGGGCTTCACTTCATACTAGCAAACTGAGAATGCCTGTCCTCTGGCTGGGCAAAGTGCTGGCACTGGCTAAAATCATGCCAGGAATTATGCTCATAATTAGCACAGATAAATGTGGACCTGTGCTTAAGCCCACACCCTTGTTCTTTTTGTTTTACTGCTGTTTGAGTACCTTTACTCATTACTGCCATATGTATCAGATGTAGGAATTTTATATGGAGAAAAACCCAACACTCCTTGCCACACGTGTTCCAAACTGTGATGAAAAATCTTCATACACCCTTTAAATAAGACTTCAGAGTGTAGTTCTTCTTAGCAATAACTATGCATGCATGTGTTCTACAGGAGCAGTTCAACAGCAGCTAAAAAACACTGAATAACAAAAAACATATTAAAAATAATTATAGATGTTTAGCTCCTAGAGCACCCACAACTAGACACTGTGCTCTTCTCAACAGAAAACAAGGTGTTCTAACTAATGGAAGGAGCAGTTTCTATGTCCCGCCAATTTTTTTTTTTTTTTTTACACTACAGAATTCTGCAGGAAAACCAGACCAAATAGCCAAGGAAAAAAATCACCAATGCCAGCTACTAAATTGCCAACTACTGAACCATAGCAATACATCTGGAGCAGCCCTTTTCACTCTGTCCCCACACTCACTCTAGTGCTCCAGTTCTTCTCCTTCAGCTCCCTTATGGAAACAGGTTTCAGTGACACTCAGAGGTGCTAATTCCAACATTCTTTCAAATTTTCAATAGCCACACAGTCAGTGTCCCTTATGTCCCTATTACCAAGTATTGCTTCTTTTAGTCCAGCAGCTCAGAACTGCTTACCCTTAGTTTTGCATACACCTGTGTTGCCTTCTGTGAGCCAAGTAAAGTCTAAAAATAGGGTTTGTGCATATTTCTGTGTAGGCTGTGCCCACACTCCAGGGTTTTTTCAGCCTACTAGACCACAATGGTAAACATTAGAGTGCTTTCCTCTGTTGTTTCTGTCCTAAAACACACCAAAAAATGAGAACATAATGTTTGCAAATACTGAAATTTGGTGCTATATGTACAGAGCCTTTTACATGTGAGGAATCAGTAAGTTGTAGCATTTAAGCATCTTCTGCTTGGGGGATGGTATCCAGCATCATAACTCTTGTTTTGGTCAATAAGAAGAAAATACTGTGCCATGCTACTTTTCACAGGTTCACTCACTGTCTTTCAGAAGCATGTTTTATTATACATATAACTCTTTCTGCTGTTAGGTATCAGGCCAACTTTAATATGGAAAATAAAGAGAAAACATGCTGTTTTGGTCTTTTAGCCAACAAACTTGGAGCACTTATCTGACTCACAACTGAAAACACATCAGTTGTCAAATGTGTATATGAATCATAAACCATGAAGTTTGGTTTAAAAGGCCATGTAAATTAATTATCTTCCATGTGTAAGATACAGCTGAATAATGAGGAAGTTTATTCTAAGAACTCTGTTTTATAGAACCACTTTGCTAGTATTTTTCCTATACAGTAGTTTCAGGAATACATTATTTTTTCTATACAATGTGAATTAGAAGATACTAGGCTGTTAGAGTGATTGTGTTTTGTTATGCTTGAAGCTTGAATTGATCACAAGTTTAGGAACGTAACGTATTTATTTTACTGCTGCAAAACTGCTTCTAAATATCAAGATCTTTTATGATGTTAACAGGATTTCACATTTCTCTTACAGTGTAAATCATTTTCTTAAAATTAGTATATTAGAGAGTTATTCCAAACTGCAGTTGTATGGGAAAATTTAAGAAAGATATTTTTACTTTCACAGAGAATAA